TCCCATATAATTTACTTAGAAATGCAACTCTATCTAGAAACTAGGTTGAGAAAACTAGGTTGAGGAGGGGCCATATAGAACTTTACAAGCTTAACTAAGTCCATATAATTTACTTAGAAATGCAACTCTATCTAGAAACTAGGTTGAGGAGTTACCATATAGAACTTTACAAGCTTAACTAAGTTTCATGGTATTATCAAAAAATTCTTCGCATCGGCTTGCATGCCATTAACTAGTAGTAAGAGCTAAAAGAGAAGCATAACAACATAAATCATATGAAATGATAATTTGCAACTAGCAAAGCTAAATATATAGAAGGTACTAAGAACTGAAAATTACTAAAATACCGCTTTGGATTTAGGTATTTCCAGATTTTTAGGCAAAAATCCACCTTGTAGCTTTCATGTGGGATCCTACATAAAAATAGCTGAAAACCAAATTGTACTAATGGAGAAAAAAAATTAAAAATATTACTCTGGTCACGTCGGCTGAGCTCACATGGCAAGATTGGCTGAACATGTGAGCCCACTGTGCTAAGCGAGGCTCTCCTCTCTTTATTTTTCTCTCATTTTTTTTTCTTTTTATCCTCTCTCTCCTTTCTTTCTATATTCTCTCTCTCATCTCCTCTCTTTTTCTCTGTCATTTCTCTTCTACAAAACACATATGCCCACACACTTTCTAGCTATACACAAACGTTTATATGCAGAAAATTCTACATAGAGCCGTGACTTCCTTCCAACACCAATGGCAATTAGCACAACTTTCAAGCTAGTTTAACTTCTTAATTGTAGCACAACTCCTTTAATCATATAACATGCACAACAACTAATATTCAACATTAACTTCTCCACCAATAATGTCTAGCCCTTCTCCACCAATAGTGTCTAGCCCATGCACGACATAATAACCAATAAGTCACCATGGCTAGCCCACGGATTCCAGCTCCACAATTAATATCTGGGGTTAATTTTTGTACAAATGATATGTCTTATTATCCATGAAAAAAGTTCAAGGATGAACGTATAAATACACTCATCCACCATGAAGCACGGGAGAATTTCTTCCATAAAAAAATCACACATGCTTGCATACACATAAAGCCACATAAAACATAAAGAAACACATTCCTAACTTTAGCTTTTATTTATCTTTTACATTACATTGTTCACTCTTCACACTTCTATTAACTTTACTAACTTAAGTAGAGTGTCCTTTCTTTTAACATCAATTTAGTTTTTCAAGAATTACTTAACCCAATTTTCTTTATAAATTTTTTTCATAACTTCATCGAAAACTAATAAATTTTTTAGTTGATAAATTTATTATGTTTTGCTAGAAATAATATTTTTTTATTTTATAGTAACTAAATACGTTATAGTCATTAAAACTCAAATTATATATATAAAAAATATAAAACCCATGGAGAATTCATTATGCACCTGCACATATATCACTATTAAAAAAAATGTTATGAATCATCGCCATTGTGTTTGGGGTTGGGGTAGAGTGATCTTTTTCAAAAGGAGTCATCAGATATTGTGAAATTAATTGGAGACAATTAAGTCTTCTAGTCTTTTAACTGCATGATATAATGATTATATGGCCCAGAAAAGAAAAAATGAAATTCAAAAAGTTACACATGGGCAATTCAATTTTTTTACGTTTTAAAAACAGAGTAAAGACTAATTACTCTCACATGCAAAAATTATTGAACTTAAACAAAGAGACTTCTCTATCCTTTCATATTAGGATTTTTTTTTTGTGATAAATAAATTAACAAAGGACAACTTGTTTTTTTTTAATAATATTTATTAAACAAATTATTGGCATGTAACGTCACCTCACCACCAAACATCACCTTTTAGGGTGACATTTGAATTATCTCATTATCCTTTTTCATTGGTGTCAAGCATATGTATAGTGATGTGGTCGTTAGGGCTACAATGAACTTATTTTTGATTTCCTCTTTCTTTTTTTTTTCTTTTTTTTACCAAAATATAAAGATGTCATTTAATTTCATTTTTTTTTTCATTTTGATCTTTATTATTTAATTGCTATTTGTTTTATTTTTTAATCGATTTTTGATCGATTTTTTTTTCAATATCTCCCCTTGTAATTTAGTTTCATTTAATTTTCTTAATAAATTTAATTTTAATTATTTTAATTGTTATTCGTTATTTTTAATGCTTTTCTAATTGATTTTTTTTTTCAATTTCATCCATCAATATTTAATTTTAAATCTTTATATTAAATTTAGTCCCTATTATTTTAATATTTTCTTTGAATCTTTTTTATTGCATTGTTTTTTCAATTTCATTCTTTAGCATTTTAATGTTTTGAAATTTTATTTTTTTATTTTTTAGGGTTTTTATAAGGGGTTAATCCCGAGCTCATGACTAAGGTTACAAGTTTTAGAAGTTAACACAGGTTAATTTTGATCTTTTTGAGGTTTTTTTTTTTTAATTTTTTTTCAATTTCACTTTTTAACATTTGATTTATTGGGAATTGATCTTCGTGTTTTTTTTTCTCAATCTCCTTTCAATAGGGTTATCTTAATTCTATTTTCATAGTCGAGGCTAGCGAGTTGATTTGAATCTTATATATATATAAGTTTTCCCCTTTAAATTTTGGTTGTTTGATAATTGAATTTTATAATTTTATTTAATTTATTTTTGACAAGTTTACAGTGGTATCATGTTTAGGTCATAAATTTGACATGCTGACCTGGATGAGCTCAAGTTGGGTGTTTTTTAGCCTTTTTTACATTGTTAATTTTTTTTTTGTTTATTTATTTTCATTATATATTTTTGTTGTATTATTTGAATTACTATAGCTTAATAAACACAATCAAGTTAATGACCTTATTTTAAGAGCACTTACATTGTTAAACATCTTTTCTTATGTTAGAAAAAACTTGGATGCCCCTACTTAATTAAAAGAAAAGGCTAAAATATGTGGGAGAAATATTGTACACATGCCTTGATTTATTGTGAATTATAACAGTAAATTAACTATTTTTCCCGTAAAAAAATTACAATAATAGACATTGTGACGTTATTACCTTCATGATTTTTAAGGATGATTTTGATATTTTCATGATTTTTTAAGAGCTTTTTTTATATATATGATGTTTTTTGCTAAGTGTAATGACTCTATTGCTTTTGAAATCAAATTTCAAAAGCTTGCCTACAGGCATTTATTTTTCATTTCACTAAGTTGTTTTTATAATAATTTTTAGATCATAGGTGCAATTTGGTTTTTTCATAAATAAATAAAAAGTTGATGATGTTGTGTTGCTCGGGTTAGCCATTCTGTTATCTTCAAGCGACATGTGTAGCTAATTCTAGTAGTCAAAACTATTCTTTTGTCACATCATATAATTCATTTAAGCCTTCTTTTCCTCCTCATGCAGTGCATGTGGTCAATAGATTTCTAGTTCAATGTCGATGATTTTTTTTTTTTTATTTTTCTCATTACTTTTATAAATCCATGTTTGACCCTTTAAATTTGCAAATCAACTCTTCAATTTATTTTTCTTTATATTTCTTCCCTTCTTTTTTGATTTCCTTTTGTTTTATTTTAATTAATTTTTTAGATTTGATTTTTTTTTTAATTTCATCAACTTTCAATTTTTTAGCATGTCAAATTTGATCACTATTATTTTGATTTTAATTTTTTTATTTAATAAATTTTTTGAATTTATTTATTTTCAATTTCACCCTCCATTTCTTTTCTTCTTTCATATTTGATGTTCATTTTTTTTCTTTGATAAGTTTTTTTTAGAGATTTTTTTAATTTTATTATTCAACATTAAATTAGTTGAGTATTGAATTTCTTAATTTAATTCAAGTCTAGAATTTCATGTATTGTAAATTTGAAATATTAATGTAGGTTAACAAGATTCGCTCAAAATAATTATTGTGGATTGAAACAATTAATTTACTATTTTTTCCTACAAAAATTTTTTAGACTCGTCCTTCAATTCTTGTGGATTAACCATTTTTTAATTGATTAAGGTTATTACTGTCTTTATACATCTTTTTTTGCAAAGTTAAATTACTATAATAGCCTTGAAAGCAACACAACAATTGGGTCTAAGAGTTTTTTCCCTTCAAATTTTACTTTTAAAACTTGACTTCAAGGGCTTAAACATAGTCTGAAGGGCAATTTGGTCTTTTAATTAATATTGATAATAATTTTAAAAATTATTTTTTATTTTTATAATTTGATATTGAATTGGTTGGAAAATAAATTTTATTGAGTGATTTTTGCTATTTTGTATGGGGTTATTACTGTCTTGAACAAATATCTATTTTAGAGTTAATGCTTGAAATTACAAAATCTATTTTTTATCATATAATTAAGTAAATATTATTTTAAAAAATATTAAAATAATTGAGTCTACAAACCAAATCATGAGATAATTGAGATTATCTAATATATTATTTTCTGAATATTTGTTTTTCCATCTTAATGTTTTTTATAAGTTAAATTATGCTTTTTTCAAGCATTCATATAGCTTTCAAATTCATAAAATTAATCAATTTATATTAGACAATTTAATTGAGAACTTGCTGAGATAAAAAATTAAATTGAAAAATTTTAAAATTTAATTATTGATTGAATTTGATAACATTACCAAAAACAAATCCCCAATACTTTTAGTATTTATTTTTAATTTAGGAAAAACAAAACACATGCCAATGAAATAATATAAGCTATAGCAGTTGAGATAAAAATCTATTTCATTAAAGATATTCAATTTGTTTCATTAAAAAAAAAACAAAATAATCAGTTACACAATCATATTTAATTAGGATTCAAATCTATTTCATTATAAGAACTCAATTATATTTTGTTAAAAAAACTATCCACTGTACAACCGTTGACCGTTACTATCATTTCAAACCTAAACTTGAAACTCCCACCTCAATCTCAAATATAAATAAATAAATAAAACCTTCTTCTTATTTATCCAAATATATATATATATATATATATATATATATATAAATAAATAAGAGTGCAGAGCAAGAAGATCACACGCTCTTCGACTCCCTTCACGCTCTGACAGAAAACCCTAAATTTATTCCCATGAATTTCTTCAAATCCGTCTTCGATAAAGATACCACACCACCCAACAACCCAAGCTCCGAGAACCCTGAACCGGCACCGGAACCGGAACCGTCAACCCTAAACCTCGCGTGGTCCTTTGACTCGTTAATCAAAACCATATCAACCAAATCAGAATCCATAATCCAAACATATAAAAAAGACCTCCATGAATTACGATCCGGTTTTAACAAAGAAACCGCCGTCATACGCCACGTCGCTTCACGCGCTGTCCATGACCTCCCAGCTTCTTTTGAATCCGGCGCCGCCGTCGCTCAACACTCCCTCGAGTCCGTCGGCCAAGTCATTGATGATATCGGATCCACCGTTTGGAATTCAACGGCCCAGATAATCTCTCACGGTAAGGACTCCGTTTTCTCAGCCGTTGATCATCATCGTGATTTGAATGATGATAGTGATGCAAGTAGTTCGACTAAACGACACCATTTGGGCGTGAAGTACAGTCGTTTCGATGCTCAAGTACGTGCATTGCAATGTGATTTGGATACTTATTGTTCTGAACCGGGGGATAAGGAGGATTATGAGAAATGGGAGTCGGAGGGTTTTGTGTTTGAAGAGAAAAATGAAGAGATTAAGAGATTAATCAGCGAAAATGAGGTTGTTAATCAAATTTATTACAAGGTTGTGCCTAGTAAGGTCGATGATCAAAGTTTTTGGAGCCGGTATTTTTATAGACTGTTTAAGTTAAAACAAGCAGAGGAAGCAAGGGCATTGCTTGTTAAAAGAGCGATCTCCGGTGATGAAGAGGAGGATTTAAGCTGGGATTTTGATGATGACGATGATAATGAGGAGCGTAATGGGTTTTTGTGGAGAGGTGAGTCAATTAAGGAGAGTGTAATTGAGAAGGAAATTGAGGAGAGGGAAGATGGTGGTTTGCCCTCACTCCCATCGCCTAACAAAAGCATGGATACGTTGGAGGAGAAGGGGAGTAATGGTGGATCGGGTAAAGACAGTGATGTGTCCATCGTTTCAAGCCAGTCGTTGCAGGAGGAAGATCTTGGCTGGGATGAGATTGAATATATTGGGAGTAATGATGAGAGCAAGGTGGAAGCTGCTGAGAACACAGCAAGTGCTGGTACAAGTAGAGTGGAATTGCATAATCGGTTTGGAAGTGCAGAAGAACAGGACTTGAGTTGGGATGTTCAAGATGAAGTTGATTTGCCTGTAAAGTAATTATTTATCTCTATGTGGTAATTATCATTTAGTTTTCCATTATAGTGCAATTTGTAGATATTGTCTTTGCATATTTCTTTGTGAGGCCCAAGTAATTGGATGTCTATCACAGTTTTATCAGATTTCATAAATGTAGATGCAAATTGATGTTATTGGGACTGCCTGCATGCAGAGGTGATATTTTATTTCTTGTGGCATAAAACACACAAACTTTGCTTGTCTTGTGCTGTCATGTTTGAAATTTGGATCCTGTCTCCTGGAGTATTCCATAGGTTTTAAAATGGTTGCTGAGCTTCATATATATGCAGGATTAGTAAAAGAGTTGGTATCTATAAATGCATGGCTTGTTACATTCTTCAAACTGAAATAAGAAATCAGAATGTCTGGCAAGAACTGACCTTGCTTATGAGTAAATGATGCTGCTAAAGTTCTGTAAACCTGCTGAGAGAGTTCATTATGTTGTTGTTCTAGAAGCTCATCCATTTCAATTGCACAAACCCCTTAAATGATTTGGTTTTGCTGGACACTGTAACTTTGGTAATCTAATTATATATGCAATCCCTTTATATGAAACAATGAGAAAAAAATTAATCATGCATTTCATATACACATGCCTTGGTTGGCACTGGCGAGGCCAAATATCAGAAACCAAGAACCAGATGAGAATAGCTAATATATAATGCACTTTGCATTCCCATATTATTGGATATATCAACATACATCAAGAAATCATCTCCAGTGCTTTAGAATTCTGCTAAGTTGACATGACTCTAGCTTGAAGGAGTAGGAAATACAGACATCACTGGTAGAATCAGAAAAGAATAGCAAGCTTAAATCTTTTGCTCAATGTTAAAACAAGCCTTGACATTGAAACACTATGCACAAAGCAACAGTGGTAGAGAGTTTCTTTATGATACAGTGCCTTTGATCACTCTAAACCAATACTCTAGACACCCTTCCACGAACAAACCGGCAGGATGTACTTCAGTAGGACTTCTGACACAACAAATATTACAAAGGCATGCAATTCTCAATTATATATGTTTCCTACCGTGCTTTGACACCATGATTTTGCGCAACTATCAGTTGTAGAGATCAATCAATCATCACGGGATTAGCATGAACCTGAAACAGGATCTGAGTAGAAAAGGAAATGCTGGCATTGAGGATGAAGATCTAAGGATCAAGATTTGACAGGCGAGATAGTATATCAATTTCCTTGATGATCAATTACTTTTCCTCTTCGAACTGTTCATCCTCAGCGCCTGATGAGGACACTATTTTATCGATTTCCACAGAAAAAATTTCAAAATTGAAAAGTGTTTCTATATACATGATTTCAAAGGAAATTTCTTAAACTATTTGTGTATCTATTACCCATAGCATCTGGGTGCAATTCGAAAGCATAATTACCTTTTCCAGCTGAGAGGTTAAGAAGCAACTTCAACAATTTTTCATGGTTTTTTGCCAAAATCATTTTTACTTCTCTTGGCTTGCTAGGATTAGCAACAAAGACCTGACGTGAGAACAAAGACAGGGTTTAACACTTGGAACCATAAATGACATTTATGCTGCAAAATATTTCACCATCATCGAAAAATAAAGGACTCTTATTTGATGAGCATTTAACACAAAGTCAACAATTGACACTGCCCAAGGTGCATGAGGGCCCATGTTACAAAATCTGGCTATCCGCAAAGGCGCAGCGAAACCACAATCACACAATTTTGACAGCATCCTAACCTTTCAATCAAGGAAAAGGTATGGAAAAAATCTGTACTTATAAGTTGCAACTCAACCAGGCCAATTCCAAAATATTTTCATCTAAACGAAGCAGCCAATGCCATGTTGACCTCTATTTATCCCTCATGTCTACTCAACAGCCAACTTTATTTTTCCTTTCATACAATTCAATTGTCATCTTTAACGTCTAGGACACTGCTTCTTTGCAAAGGAGGCACAACAAAAACAAGAACAGCTGCGGCAATCATCTTGATCAAGCACGAAATTTGGACGCAGATTGCAAGCAAAAGACATTCAGATAGATATCCTTACACTTTGTAGAAGTTTCTTGCATCAACTAAGACTCTCTGCTACTGTAGTGAAACCTTAAATCGAGATGGTGTCTATGTTCCCCATGGAAATTTAATAGATGATTGCATATCAAAAAGACATTGAACAACCATTGGAAGTTCCCCTTAAAGTTTATCTTCCACTAAAAAGCTGTAGTATGCAAATGACTATTTGTTTTTATCATAAGATACGGACACCAGAAAGACCAGTATGAAATAACCTGAGATGCATTTTTTTGGGGTAGTGCTGATAAAAATACAACACACACAAGAAAACAGCTCAGACAATTTAAATGCACTGAAAAATACCAAATACCCGAACAAAATTAAAAAAATGAACACACTTCAGCAACCCTTTTTGGAGGGATAAAGAAAGCGGGGAGATGGAAGGGTAAAGGGAAAGTCCATGTTTAGTTTTCACTTGCCCACCAAACATGACCTATATAATTTCACCAAAAAACTTAACATGAAGGGAAATTTCAGCAAGAGATGATGCATATCAGACAGCGATTGCAGTTGATTGTCTGCCCTATAACTTGACTGATTTATGCTTTGGATGGGGGTAGCAAAATTAGCCAATGTTGCACTTATCCTAGATAAGCAATCTCCTTGGTTCTAATGGTATTGGAACACCTTGAAGGCCAAGGAATCATAACATGACATGATAGCATGGGAAATCGATGTCCTACCATATGACCAAGCCAAGAGCACAACTAGAAAAAGAAATACATACACTAAAGAAAAGGAGAGGGTGAGGAAGATTCTAAAACCTTGAAAATGTGGAAAGCAGCGATCTGAATATTTTTGCTGGAGTCCTGCCCAGACAAATGAAAGAAAAATCAAGCAGGGGAAGGTCAACGACAATAAAAACAGTGCATCTCAAAATAGATCTTACACAGAAGGCCCATCTATCATATAGCACAGGACATGCCTGGATAAATCAGAACTACTCTTTACCACTTACCAGACAGGCACAATAAAGCTACAATGCGTTCCAGACTTCCAGTGAACAGAAAAGCATGGTGAAACACAAAGTGATCCAAAAACTCATATTTGAGTTATATCTCAGTCACATAAAATGAATTATGTTTTCTCACTAACAGTGATCAAAACTTCAAGCCTTTGATACCGAAGTGGCCTCTTATTGCCAGAATTTATAGGTCAGTAATATCACATCTTTTAGGGCCTTTCTATCATTCAAAGGTTTCTTGCTTTGTCACTTTTGGTTTGACAAAGATAGCATTGCCAATTAAAAACTTATGGTTTCTTTTGATTGCACAGTATATCAAACTAGTCGTACAAAAAAAAAAAAACATCAAAATTGAGATGCAAGAAATAAAAAGTGGAAAAGAAACGACTTGATACCTTCAGCAAAGTCATCATGACTTAAAGGTACCAAACTTCTAGAATGTAGTGCTTCATTATATGAGAGCTCGGAGGTTCCAAAAGGAATTCTGAAAGAAGCTAAATCAACATAATACTGTTAACTTATTGATCAAAGCAACAGCAGAGTGATATCTGAAAAAGTACAGTGGAAACTAACCTTCAATGATTGCCTTCTTGTCACATAATTAGAAGATGTCAAGAGTTTTTCATATAGTTCAAAGAACTGGGATAGTAGTGCTTTAAGATTAGCTAAGAGACACTTCTTACACAAGCAAGAGAAAAGATAAAGATAATTGTGAAATGGAGCTATTATGGTAGTAGATTTGCTCAACAGTCTAGACAAATATTAGGAGTCCAAAATCCAATGACTGTCGTATAATTCATTAATCATCACAAAAAGAGGTTCTTGTTCAAAGCACATTCTGGGTATTCTTTAACTAACATATGCAGATCAACAAATTTTAAGTAACATTTCAACCAAGATTGGCCTCCCTATATCTATCTGAAATCATAAAATTGACAAGCAAGTGTACCTCATCACAATGTGCAGTAAGATACTAAGCAACCACAGTACCATGTTATGTCAGTAAATCCTGGCAAGCATACCAAAACGTTTAAGAAGTAGGAATAAATGGAGGCACAAATTTGAACAGATAAAAGGGAAAGGAAACACAAGAACTTACAAACTTGTAACTCTGACCTTGAAAGTAGAGAAAGCATCGGAAGCAACATCAAAGTTGGGCAATTCCACAAATTTGAAGAATAACTCAAAGCTTGCAGACTCTAATATGCATCTGAAACATCACTACAAAAATTATCTGTGTGAAAACTTAAAAACTTGCTTGTCATAATAAAGAAATAAATCATCAAAAGCAGCATTGACTGTAACAGCCATTTTAAACTTTGAGTAATTGTTATAATTGAAACTGACTGAAATTTCAAATCTCAGAAAGGCAATATGCTAATAATTATCAAATTCCATTAACAATCAGTGGAAGTGGGGCCATTAATCTCTACAGTAAATTAGTTAGTCAATGAATAAATTATATCAAAGCATTCAAACTTTGGAATTAAATAACTTTAGCAGCAGTGAGCACAGTTCAAATTGCCATAACCAGTGAAAGATCGCAAGGACCAGGGTAGAAGCAACAACCAATGAGCACAACAAAAAAAAAATCATAAAGAAACCCAGGTCACGCATGAGCAGTCCTTTCCATTGATGGAGATGATATCACAAAAGGTATTTTACAAAAGTATGGAAATCACGAAACAGATCCCAGTGAAATCAGCTTGATAAAACTAAATTCTAACCAGCCCCAGGTCACTGGTACTCAGACTAAGAGTTATTAATCTCCTATTTTCCAGGGAATCTCTCACATGAACCATTAACTATAAAAAAATATTTTGGAATGTAAACATCAAATAATGAATACAGAAAAAAATAAATACAGGAAGGAGTTCTACCAAATAATGTGTTGAAATTTTCACAATTCCACAGGCACAAATCTCCATGTGTTTCTATTCAGGAAAAAAAAAGATATGCAACTCCTCATGCTTACAAACACATTATAAAAATCCTCTCCCCTAAGAAGGTCCAAATTTCTCACTGTGCATGAGAAACAGTGACTGCGCTGAGCTGTTAATGAGAACTCAAACCTCTTGCTGTCTCACACTTATGGGTGACATAAAAGCTATGGATTCAAAGCCCCGACCACCTGAAGTCTCATCTCAAGAAGGCCTCCTATG